GTGGGGGATGTCGGCTGAGGTGCCCCCGAAGCACCCCCTCTTTTCCTGGCTGGGCAAGGACAGCCTAAATTAAGATCCTAGGCTGCATCCACACTGCAGAACTAATCCAGTTTGAGACCGCTTTAACTGCCTTGGCTCAATGCTAGCGAATTCTTGGAACTGTAGTTTTGGGAGATATTTGCCCTTCTCTGTCAGAGAGAGCTCTGTTACCACAATAAACTAGAATTCCCTAGCATCGAGCCAGGGCAGTTAAAGCAGTCTCAAACTGAACTAGTTCTGCAGCCTGTTTTGCACCGCAGGCTGCATCCAGACTACAGAAATAATCCGGTTTGACCTTACTTTAACTGCCTTGGCTCAGCGCTATCTAATTCTAGGAACTGTAGTTTATTGTGGCCCCAGAGCTCTCTCTCTCTGACAGAGAAGACTAAAGGTGTCGCAAAACTACAGTTCCCAGGATCCCCTAGCACTGAGCGGTGTCAAACTGGATTATTTCTGCAGTGTGGGATTATTTCTCAAATAAAATTTAAAAATAGGAGGGAGGGAAACCGAGAAAGAGGAAGAGGAGGAAGACTGGGATGGGGGTGCCCCTGAATCGCTCCCTCTTTCCTAAGGAGAGCCTACACTAAGACCCTAATTTAAAATTTCAAAGGCAAGGGCAGCCTCTCCCTCTTCCTCTCTCTCTCCCTTCCCAGCGGGGCGCCTCCATCCTCCTCTCCCTCGGGGGCTCCCTGGCAAATCCTGCGAAGCCTACCGGGTCCCTCCTTCCTTCTTCGGAGCCTCAGCGGCCTCCCCGCGCCGGAACCACCGCCACCATCGCGGCGGGCGCCAACTACGGAAGCGCCGCCCCTCTTCCTCCTCCTCCTCGACACCGACGACGCCCCCGGCCTCCCTCAGCATCCCCCACCTCCAAGCAAGGCGCACGCCCATTGGGCCGCGGGCCGCCTCCAACAAGCGCGGCGCTCATTGGCTCGCTCCCCGCTCGAGCGAATCCGGAAACCTCCTCCTCGCCGCGGAACAGTTTGAAGCCGCTCAGGTTCTCCTGGGGAATGCATTAGCGGCGGAGCGGTTTCCGCTTCCGGTGAGGCCCCCTGAAGTCCTGGCGAAGGGTCAGTCCGCAGCCAGGTGAGGGTAAGGGCGCCCTCGGTTGTGTGCCCCGTTGTCTTTCCTCCCTCCCACCCCAAATCTTTTTTAAAGGCGGTTAGAGTGAATAGTGTGGTGTTTCTGAGGCCGTAGGGAGATGGTCGGGCTTCTCTTGAGAGGGATAGTGGCTCCACGGTCGCCGTAACTGAGGCTTCTTAAAAGTCAAAGGGCATCCTGTTAGTCCCTTTCTAGTGGAGGCCTTTTTCCATAAGGACGACTGAGTGAGGGCCTTTACAGGTTGCCAGAAATAATGCAGCTTGAAACCACTTTAACTGCCCTGGCTCAGTGCTGGGGAATCATGGGAACTGTAGTTTATTGTGGCACCAGAGCTCTCTGACAGACAGAAGGCTCGATGTCTCAGAAAAAACTACAATTCCCATGATTCCCTAGCATTGAGCCAGGACAGTTAAAGTGGCCTCAAGCTGCATTATTTATGGTAGTCTGTAAAGGCCCTGAGTGACTGACTGAGCCCGCCTTCTCTGGTCCCGTTGTTGTTGTGAAAATGACCTTGGGAAGAACTATTTGGATTCAGAGACACAGCCAAGTTACTCTGGAAAATCAGTATGCAAAGGAGTATTGTTGCAGCACCTTTGAGACTCACTGAAAGACAGGAGATAGGAGCATAAGCTTTCCTAAACTTGAGCATGGGTCCCCCATCCCTCTGGGGAAGGAGGCTCAAGTCTAGGAAAGCTCATGTTCCCAGCTGCTTTCTTTCATATAATCATATTATTATTATATTTATATCCTTTCTTTTTCCCAAAACTGGGACTCAAGAGCAGTTTACAAAACTAAAAACAGTACACTCGTCCCTCCACGTTTGCGGCTTTGACTTTTGCAGAAATAATGTTAATATTTTTAAAATATTTATCAGTAATTTGGCACTACACTCGTCCTTCCACATTCGCGGCTTTCACTTTTGCAGATTTGATTATTCATGGATTTTATTAATATTTTTTCTCTAGGAATATCTAGGTCCTCCAGTGCAACTCTGTGGTCAGGTTCTGACCACGTTCAGGACATGCGTCATCTGAATGCTACACCCCAAACGTGGCCAGAATCCGCATCATTTGACCTGTGTATTTTGGGCCTGAGAGATCGCATCTAATCCAAGGTTGCTCTGGCCCGAAACAGATGGGCCAAAAGCGCTATCTTTGGCCTGATCCAGGGGCGTGACATTCAGATTACACATTTCCCCGGATCAGGCCAAAGGTACTCCACAGGCGCCCCAGGTGCCCCAAACCTGGCTGCAAAAGGAGTGCAAAAAAAGTGCTCCTTACTGGGTGTGTGTTGTGGACTGTGGCGGCAGCCAGCCTTGAGACTACAGCATCTCATCACTGTAGCCCTGTGTCAAACAGGGAGCAGTTGGGGTGGAAGTGACCTCTGGCCACTCCTTTTGCCCCATCTGTTCGACCCCTCTGTGATCTTTCTAGCTCAGAGGGAATTTGAACTTCCCCAGTTCTATTGTGATAGTCTAACAAATTTATTACATCAGTAATGATGGTCAGTAAGGTCTTTCACTAACTCCATCAGGTTAAAATATTTTTGATACATTTTTTAGCAGAGCAGACAAACCTCATGAGTGATTTCATTAGCCTGAGTTTAGATTATTATGACTTGTTTTATGTGGGCTGTACTTGATGACTGTTCAGAAGCTTCATCTGATATGGAATGCAGCAGCAGTCTTGTAAAGGTGCATGGTATATTATGCTGGCACTAATTCATCTGGCTACCTAGCATGTTCACGTTGTAATTCAAGAGGCTGTAGCAACATTGCCTACGCTTGGTGTACATTTTTTGTAGTTAATGTCATTGTTTCTCAATCACAATTAACTCTGTTGTATCTATATTTATCTTAAGCATCAGTGATTGAATTTAAAAAAAAATCAGAGTGGGGGGGATTGTTGTTGTGTGTCTTCAAGTCATTTCCAACTTATGGCAACCTTAAGACAAAACTGTCACAAGGTTTTCTGGGACTTAGTGTGTGTGGCTTTCCCAAGGACACAAAGTGGGATTCCATGGCAGAGTGGGGAATTGCATTAAAATTATAGCTCCCAGAATCCACCTGTAGCTGGGAGATTCTGGGATCTGCAGTCCAAATATAATTTTTGTGAGCTCTGCATTTTTGTTCTTCAGTAGTGCGGTGCTATGTCTGTTCAAAAGTAAATTGCATTATTTTCAACTGAGCTTATTCTCAGGCTTATTGCAGTCCTAATAATGTTAATGTTTTAAAAAATATCTGTCAGTAATTTGACACTACACTTGTCCCTCCACATTTGTGGCTTTGACTTTTGCAGATTTGATTATTCATGTATTTTATTAATATGTTTTTTCTAGGATTATCAAGGTCCTCCAGCTCAACTCTGTGGTCAACTTTAACCAAAAGTTGCGCTGAGGACCTAGAGATTCCTAGGACCTTATCACACGGGGCCCAATGCAGTCAGAACCCAAACGAAATCCTGACCTGATACGTATTATTTTTCCATGTGTCCACACGACGTCGCACAGAACCCCGACAGAACCCTGACAGAATGCGGCAAGAACCGAGATCTTTTGAATTTTGGTTTTTTGGGGAATTGCAATTGCGCGACGGGAATCATTTCACTTTTGCCGGCAATATGAACAGCCAGTACGTATTGGGGAGCATTTCCCCGCCTGCACTCAAAGGAGAACCTGAGGAGGTCCGGCTCTCCGAGGATGTTCTCCTCTGAGCACGGACCCTGAGCGGGGCCTGCGCTCCAAGGAGGACCTCCGAGC